ATGGAAGTGCTTTCATGCCAGAACCCAGCTGTGGTTAGTAATAGTGTTTATAATGTGCCTTGTAAAATGTAAGGCACCAGCTTCAAATTGTGAAGGCTTTTTCTCCTACTGTTCCCACTAGAATGCTGTTCAAATCCCTGCAGTCTCTGATGGCTAGAAACATCCTAATTTCCAGCCTACGCATATTCATGGCTGGTCTGCACAGACTTACTCCTAACATTATGTTTTAGCATAAATAGGTTTTGCCTTTTGTTGGTATTTTCCCTGTGGTCTTTATGTAGAATAATCAAATTATCCTTTTGGCTTTCTTTCTGCCAGGCTAAACAAGCCAAGACACTTAGTCTCCACTTACAGACAGCTTCTCCTGCCCTAATCTACCCTTCCATAACCTACCCTTACTTGAACTTAAATTACCCACAATTTACAAGTAGTTCAGATGAGATCTTGCTCAGCCCAGTACAGTAGCAATAGCTCATCTCTACTAGAATTACCTGATATTTTCTGGAGTTGCATTTAGATTTTCATGGCCATGTCACATTTGTGACTTTCAGTTCTCATGGGATGGACTAACAAACCCGGACCCTTCAACTCTGTCATTGCCAGCAGCTGCCAGCTCACAGCAGAAATTCATGGTATTAGCCCAGTCCCTGGCCTTGCATTTCATGCTGTTGAATTTCCTCTTGTTTTTCACACTCCAGTTTTTGAGGTAATCTAGTTCTTCCTCTGTGATAGCTTGTTCTTTCTGTTAAGGGGGCCTCTGCAAACTTCAGTGGGGCCTTTTGAACACTCTCTTCATTCTGTACTGAGGTCATTAATAATAATTGGATGGAAGTAAGCTCCAAACTGATCCTTCAGGAATTGCAACAACAGACCGGTAGTTGTCTGAGGATATCCTTGCTTTAACCAGCACTTTCCCCATCTCAGGACTGCTGTAGAACTCCACAGTTTAATTTCCCATGTGGTAGCTTGCTAGTGCTTCATGAAGCAGAGGCTGTGGCTGCCCCAATTCCTTCAGCAGTTTTCTTATCAGAGAAAGCTGTTGTGTTAGTTGCATGTGGTCCAATTTTGATTATTTTTTAAATTTTTTCTTCCATTTATTAATATTACTGCAGTATAGTAGCAAGAGTAATGGACCCCTTAGTAGGATTTCTGAGTGCCAGGTATTGCACAAGCACTGAACAGGATTGATTCCTGCCCCAGGGAGCATATTACAACTTTATTCTAACTCTGTTTTTTCATAAGGACTTGCAGTGTGTTGGGCTCATAATGGGCCTGTCCTGCCCAGAGGTATCATAGCTCTGCTTCATGTCTTTGATTTCTCTGCAATGATCCAGAGTTGCAACTCTGGCTCCTACCTCTCATGCAGAGATCATACCTTTATGCACAATTTGCAAATCTGGAAAATACACATTTAATGTTGATGTAAAAACTCATCTGTGTCCCTTTCTAAATACACATCTAGTGTACTCATCAGTGAATTTCAGATCTTAAAAGTTATGGGAATTTTAATTAGTGATAACCTTTGCTGTGCTCCTGCTTGTTCCACTTTGCTCTGGTCCTGGAGATCCAGCTCAACCCACTCAGCTCAGACTTCACATCTCCCTGTGGGGTCAGTCTTTCTCCACCCTCTCTAGTGTAAACTAAGTACTATTGCACTTAAAAAACTTGGAGGTGAAGAGGGAAAAGGGAGAAGTTAGGAGACGTGTCCCAAAAATCTAGGAAGAAATCACTGGTATTGACCACTGCCAGTATATCTGTGACTTGGACACTGAAATACTGGCCGGTGTGTGTCTGTGTACGTCTGTCCCTGGGAAAATCCTCTATGAGACCAAGACCATGTGTGCTAAAATTCTGGTCCTCTCCTGATTTTATTCACTGATTATTCAGCCTCAGTTGTTTGCTTTTTTTTTGTTACGGTAGAAATTTCAGATCCCATACCCATCACTGTTTAGCTCTTCATTGCCAACAAGAAGATTTTGGGCTGGTGACTGCAACCTTAAGCTTAGGGAGAGTTGTCCCCTCTGAAGACCTTAGTAGAGACTTCAAAGTAACCCATCCCATGTACATTGTTCTTTTCTAAATAACTATAGTTTGGCCAAGAATGGTGTTTGAGCTCACATAGTATGTGTCAGATCTAATTTTGCTGTGGATAATGTAATCCTACATAAAAGATTACCCTGGAGTTTGTGATAAAACTGTCTTTATATGAGCATAGATGGGCAGCTCTGATCATGGGAGCAGAACTTCCCAAGGTGACCCTTGTGTCCCTCAGCCTTTACAAGGTTCACATCAACACTTGCAATTTCAGACTACTGAGAATCAATGGATTCTGCTTTTCAGTTGGTCTCTGCTTTGAACTTTCCTTAACAGAAGGGATTTTTAAAAAATGAAATACACATACACACACACACAAGTTTGTCTTAAGGCAGCTCAAGTGCTCATCCATAGGCAGGGGACTGATTAATGCCATGTTAGTTCTCAGTGCCGTGCGTATCTGCTTTCGTGACTTTCCTGATGCCAGCATGTGGCATCAGACTTGTGATAATGACTGGAAGGAAGATGCATTTATTCTTGCATAGTGGGGGGCTTTTCAATCTTGCAGACAAAGGCATAACAAGATCCAGCAACTGAAAGTTGGACAAATTCAACCTTGAAATAAGACATGGTTTCCTAGCTGCAAATAAAATTGAAGTTTGAAACAGCTTTTGAGAGGAAATGGTGGAATTGTCATTGCCTGGAGTATAGACAAGATTTGCTATCTCTCTGAAAAGGGTTTCTTTAATCCAGCATTTTGGGAGAGTTCTGTGATTTGTTGTGTGCAGGAGGTCAGTGGAAAGGAGTAATAGCAGTGCTGTCTGGTCTTGGTGGGTGAATTACTGGATGTGATTAAATGACCTTTTTGGTTTGGGTCAGCGAACTTCTGTAATAAAAGGATTGGCTGTAACATGGAGAGGGCTGAGAGATGAAGCAATATCTGAGAGAAAATAAAAATCCATGTCTGACTTACTGCCTTTTTGGCTGTTAATAATTTAAGTGTTGCTGTTTACCAACTGTTGAGTTAAAATCTGCATAAATGTTAATATCTAAGTATTTCAGAGACAGAAGACTTTGATTGTAAGTGGCACTCTGGTTTTTAAGGGTCTTTCATTGAACAATATTTGTCATTTTTGCCACATATTCTTCATTACAACCTGTTTTGTATTGATCTTTCTCTGGAAGGTGGTGGGAATCCAAAGTGCCTTCGACCACTGCAAAGTGCAGCATAGCAGAGTGCTGCAAGTATTGCTATTTTTAGGTACTAGGGAAAATATGAAGCTGTAATTATCATTATATTTTCATTTTCTTAGCCTTCAACTACAAAGTGTATAGGCTGTATTCAAGTTTCCCGCTTTGAAAATCTTGAACAGAGCCCCAGAGAGAAAGCAATCTGAATTGTTCCATGACATTTTGATTTATAAGATTCACCAAGTCTGAATATGTGCAAAATCTAGGGGATTTGATTTTGAATCAAACCTGTATTTTTCCTACACAAACATCTATGCAACTGTTTAATTCTCAAAATGTTCCTGCAGTTTTGATAGTGGTAGGTAAGATTTTCAGAAGTTATTCAGAAGTTTCAGTAGCTAAACTCTGCTGCTGTTGACACCAACAGAAAAGCCCTCTCAGTGCTTTGATGGCAGAAGGTTTAGGCCAGAGGTGTTTCCCCTCGGTTCTGCACTGGTGAGGCCACACCTCGAATCCTGGGCATTGAGGGGCTGGAGCCCCAGGGAGGGGCAACGAAGCTTGGAAAGGGTCTGGAGCACAAGTCTTAGGAGAAGTGGCTGAGGGAACTTGGGGTGTTCAGCCTGGAGAAAAGGAGGCTGAGGGGAGACCTTCTCTCCCTCTACAACTCCCTGAAAGGAGATTGGAGTGAGATGGAGGTCAATCTCTTCTCCCAGGTAAAAGGGGATAGGAAAAGAGGAAATGGCCTCAGGTTGTGCCAGGGGAGGTTTAGATTGGATATTAGAGTAAGCTTCTTCACTAAAAGGGTTATTAAATGCTAGAACAGGCTTCCTAGGGAGGTGGTTGAATCACCACCCCTGGAGGTGTTTAAAAGATGTTCAGATGTGGTTCTTGGAAACTGCTTGGGCTGCTGGCCCATGTGGTGTGGAGATACCTGTTTATCTAGGACTGGATCCTGGCTGCAGTCCTGGACAAGACTCCAGTGTCCAGTGAATTGTCCTCTAGAACTCCTTTGGAGGAAAAAAGGGACTAGTTTTCTGTGTTCCTGAGCATGTTTTTCTGAAGTGTTCCTTTGGAAACATGGCTGGAAGAGGTGCTTCCCAGCTGGCCAACTTCTGAAAGCCTCAGCAGATGCAATACTGCTCTCACTGCCAACACCCTCAGTGCTGAGGATTCTGGGAGGTTGCCATTGAATTCAAAGTTGGAGCCAAGACTAAATTTTATTTCTTTCAGGAAAGAATTATATACAAGTCAGTGGAGGGGTTTCTCTGCAGTACTGTAAGGAAGAAATTCAAAAGAGTCAGTAGAGTCATTGGGTTTTCAAGGACAAACCCTTTTCTTTCAAAAAAAAACTCAGCAGCCTGAATGCCACAGCACAAAAGCACTGAAAGGAAACTGGCTTTGATTTTTCATTGCCCATTGACATAGCAAGCATAATAAATAATGCCAAATTAGATTATTTTTTAATTAACAAAAATTATTAATAAACAGTTCATGTCTTTTTAAACAAGGTTTCTCTGTAATTATTCTGTTTTGTGAGAACTTGCCTTGGTTACAGAGAATCTTGCACTGCTGTGATAATGGTATGAAAGTCAGTAGCTTTAAGAGCTGGAAGGCTAAGAAGGTAAAAGCAGCTCTCTGTCATTGTATCAGTGGGTTTGTGTTTACAGTTCATTAGTCTATGTTTAAAAATACCATGCTGCCAATTTAAATCACAGCTGGATTCATAAAAATTTTGAGATTATCACTTGCTGAGCAAAATCCTTCCTTTGCTTTAGCTTGCAGATTCGCTCGTGCCCTTGGAGATTAAGCCTGGTATTTCCTTAGCAACAGTTTCTGCCGTGTTGCATACTAAAGACAACAAGCACGTGCTGCAGGTACAGTATGATGGGAAAGGGAGAAAAATATCCTTCCACCAGGTTTCTTGCCATCTGGGACCCCAGCTGTTCTTATGAGGCAACCTCTCCAACAAGTCTTTGCCCACTGGAGCAGAGTCCTTGTCAGTTGCTTTGTCCTGGCATGTGCGAGTGAGGAATTACACTTGGAGAAGAGAGTGGGATGCAAATAAATCTCTCTTCTCTCTTTTTGTTGGCCATGTGCCTGGCTAAGATAAAAGGGGAGGTGAGATTACTCCTGAAGTGAGACTACAAATCATACTGCTGTCTTCCATAACCCATACAGCATCAGCATGAGTCAGGCTCTCATGGACTGAAAACTGGGGTTCAGAGGGCAGAGATGAGCTAAAACATTAGAGATATGAAGGGACTGTCTTCTTTAAGTTGCCCTGTTCCCCAAGACACAGAAACATCCTTGCACAAAGTAGCAGTGTGCACTCTTTTCCTACCACCTCCTTTTGGCTGACACTGCAGTTAGTGCTCTGCAGCAGGAGGTGATGCCTGATGGACGTGCTTGGCTTTGGGTGCTCCAGTCACCTTTCTCCTTTGATGCATGAGCATGCAGTGAACTCAGTGAAGCCACACCCTGCACAATACTGCCTCTCCTGGTGGGCAGCCATAGCTGGTCTGGGCCCACTACACTTGGGAATAATGTCTTTAATGGAGGGGCATAAAGATTGGTTAATGATTTAAATCAGTGCACAGCAGACAGACTGTCTTTCTTTTTCCCTAGAAACACTAGGCAACACTGAACAAATAGCAATATTTAAATGCAGTTGGTCTAAGACTGCTTTCTCATTTGTGTTGTTCATTTACTCCCTTCTCTGCTCTGATTCCTGGTGCCAAACAGACTTAGATCTAGGCTTAGAATGCCAGAGCCCTCACCTGTGGATGGGGGTAAAGCCAGCACAGTGGTGTCTGTCAGTGTGGCTGAGCCCGAGACCCACCACGGCAGTAATTCAAGAACAAATAACATGGTACATGCAGGTAGGCCCACCAACTTCAGGGAAAACGGTGGGGTTTTGTGTAGTGACTCAAATGCATCCCTTCTTGTGGAAGTGGAGCCTGAGGAGACAATATTTCTCTCACAAGTATGAAAAACACCCTTCCCTGGCTGTTGAAAAGAACGTCCCAGCAGCAGGTTCAGACATGATGCTACATGACAGGAAAGGCACAGAGTTTGGAGGAGCCCAGTCTGTCACCTGGAGTGCACGGGGTGCTGCAAGACCCTGGAGTTGCTTCAGGCAATTTCTCTGTGTGTTGTGCAGCTGCATCCCTGGCAAATGATCTTGCCATAATTTTGAAGCAATTTCCCCCAGTGCCTTTTTCCCAGGGACTGAGTTGCTAGTTCACCAGGAAGGATGAGTGCTGAAACTTTCCCACCCTTACACAACACAGGACACATGGACTTATTTTTCACAATAATTTCCTCACTGTTCTTTTTGTAGGAATCAGGTTTTCATCTCCATTAATAAAATGGTCTTTTGGAAGTGCTCAGTTAGCCCCACACCTTGCCCATATAGTGCTAGGCTAGGTACCCCTGCATGTGCTTGCCCTGCCTCCCCCTCCTTGCTAACAGAGAAGGGTTTCAGGGGTGAGTTAGAGCACAGAACTTTCTGAAGCAGCACCAATTATACTCAGGTCACACTCCAGTGATTTTTTTCAGGCACTGCAGCTTCTCTCATGCTTCCCTGTCTGTATTCAAGTTCTTCTTAAAGACTCACTTTTCTGAGGCCAGTGAGAAGTAAATTACCCATTTTTTTCTCATTGCCTGAGTAGTTAGTTGCTCTGAATTTGCCCATTTCCCAACCTGATGCATCTTTTAGAGTGAAATTTTCAAGGCACTGACTTCTTTAAGACATGATTCCTAGAAAATATTGGAGAGTACCCAAACACTAAACTAGAAGTCTTCAGTCTTGAATTGAGTCAGATAGGTCTTCTAAGATGAAAGAAATTTAAACAGAAATTAATTTGACTGAAATTTGAAGATTATGGAGTTGAACTAAAACTGCTAGTTTATTTCTATAAATTGTGACTTGTATTTGCAGTGGAGCCCAAGGCTGGGTTTCTCCTTTCCTCTTCACTACTGCAATGTTCCCCTGTAGTACCAGAAAATAAAATCAGTATTCCTTTTCTATCTCCTGTGCTTGTTATTCCAACTAAATTATAAGAAGCTGGTGTGATTCCCTGCATCCCTGTGTATTTTCTCACCCATTAGCTCCCTCCAAAACCTCCACAACCTCCTGCCAGCAAGAAGAGAAAGCGAGTGAGTGATGATGTGCCAGAGTGTAAATCTTTGAAGCCACTGCTGAGCGGCTCCATTCCCGTGGACCAGTTTGTGCAGACGCTTGAGAAGGTAATAAGTCTTTGGTGGCAAGTGAGATTCAAGTGGATTTCTGTTAATCTCAAAAATATGCTGCTTTGCTAGGAATGGAAGGAAAATAATTTTAGCATGGCTTGAAACAGAGAGGGGATAATGAGCTCACAAAGTACTTCTGGGAATGTGTGTCCCTGCACTTACTGTGGAGGGAATAGTTCCTTGTGGAGTCATGTCCTGATACAGGGGAACCATGTCAGTTGTTTCTTCCTGGGTTTCACTGCAAGTGGGTGAGTTTCCCCCATGTAACTTTTGGATTTGTCAGCTGGTTCCCAGCAAATTTGAACAGTGGGGTAGAGGTCTCAAAAGTACTTCAGTTTCTACAAGTTTTGTGAAAATGGGCTGACTGGGTGAAGAATAGATCCTGAAAATGTCTCCACTGATGGAGAAGCTTTCTGGGGAGCTGCAGGACAGGGGGCTTGGTGGCTGAATTTATGGGCAGTTGGATACTGCTCTGTGGAGCCCTGTTCTCCCTTGCATGCCTCTTTGGAGAAAATGGATAGGAAAAAGGGCAGGGTAGTCTGTGAGGAAGCTTGCCCTAGGGTTCAGTGGCTCTCCACTATCATCTTCTTTGAGGCAGTAATGTCAGCAGATGGTAATTTCTGTAGTTAAAGGAGCAATTTGTCCTCTTTGCCTCAAGATTTTGCAATTGCAGTGACATGGTGTAGTGGAAAATACTGGCTTTAGCCTCCCTGTTCTATATTCATCTGTATCCTGAGGATCATAATTAACTTACCCTATGCATGTCCTCTTCAAATCGCAGAGATATCTGCAATGGCACTCTGTATTTTGTGGTCATTCTCCCCTTTCCTCTCTCCTGTGCCCCAGTCTTTCATCTCTTCCTGTTTTCCCGAGTTGTAGTAACATCTCCCTCCTTTACTCCCTCCCCAACGGTACATCTAGCACGGTTTCAGTGATGTGAAGGTGGAGGACACAGCCAAGGGACACATCGTGCTCCTCCAGGAGGCAGAAACCCTCATTCAGATTGAGGAGGATTCCACACACATCATCTGTGACAACGATGAACCTTTGAGGGTGAAGCTGCGTGACCTGGTTCTCAAATTCCTGCAGAATTTTTAGCTCATGGACATCATGCTGCTCTGCAAGGAGACACTCCAGAGAACCAGAGCTAAGAGCTTTCCAGAGGATGGTCCTAGGGAGAAAGAGAATTTTGTGATACCAAGAGACCAGATGCTGCCTTTCCCTTAATGGAGAAGGAAGGAAGTATTTTTTAGTATCTATACAGTTTTTATATATTATTTTTAACCAAGTTTGGAATACTTTGGAGAGGATTCCTGGTCTGTAAAATTAGGAGTTGGAATCTTATAGGAGATAGAGATTGCAGAGTAAATAGTGTGTTTACCAGATCAGGGTGGCATTGTGTGCAGACACAGACATTTCTCTGTGTGACCCTTGCAGCAATGTGTGCCCCAGCCCTTTACCTTTGAAAACTTTGTAAAAATATTGAAACAGTGGCCTCAGATATTAAGAGATTATTTTTTTCTCCCCACTGCTTCTTCCCCATCATTAGATCCAATTTCCTGTCTGTCCTCCATTCACATTGTGGGTGTGTTTCACTGGCATGAAGAGGAATGGGAAAGCTGGTAAGGCAACGATTAGAAAAATAAAAATGAAAAAGGGGGGACTATGGGGGAGCATGTGGAACAGATGTGAAGTGGCAAGAGCTTGGCCATTCCCTCCAAAAGCAGAGGGATTTTGGAAAAAAATATTTATTTTAGGAATGCAAGGTGTTTCTTGATGCTGCACCCTCACCTGTTAGGACCAGGTCACCCACCTAGCGCTTTGCTGGGACTTGCAAAAGGCTGGTTTCTCCTGGGTCCTTCCATCATCAGTGGAGGAGTTGTCTCAGGAAGATACTGTCAAAAGTAATTAAACTCCTAGTGCTTATGAAGAACCTTTAAGTGCCTCTTGTTTCTACCTTCCAAAAACCTGTCCTTTTAGCCCCCACAATCCCAAATCCTGATTGAAATACTGAGTCATTTGCACAAAGCCATCTGTACTGCAGACCTGAGGAGGTTTCTCACTCCCAAAATCATTTATTTGGGGCCTAAACTTAGTTAATAGTATTGCTTTTAAAAGGAGCCGATTTCTCAGATATACTGCTGTTTGGTTTTTATTGGATTGTTTTGTATTTATTTGGTGTTAAAAATAAAAAGCATAGTAAGACTGCCAAGGAGGAAGCACATTCTGTGGTTTATAAAAGCATCTGCATGCCTGCTCCACATCCCCCTGTGCGGGTAAGTACACACTTGTAAAATATAACTACTCCTTCAGTTTATAGCTTTGGGGAGATTATGGCAGTGGAAGAACAGCTCTGTAATAAAAACTATTTGCTATTGCAGTCTCCATATCATATTTTGTACACATTAAAGATTCTTATTCAATTGGATGTACAGACTCCAGCATCCGTACTTTTCCTTTCCATGTATGTCATGGGTGTGAGAGAAATAGTGTCATTAGTGTGATAAAAACTTGTTGCAAAACTCGTCAGAGTTTACAACATCTGCAGCAGTTTGGCTTCTTTATCATCACTTGGAAATGGAATAATAGAATTGTTAATATTTCACCTTGTAATTAAAGCTCAAAAAAGATGATTCCTAACACACAGAGGCCTTGGGTTAAACACAGCTGGGCTGAGGAGGCTGGGGGAGAGGGAAGAGTGGACCTTGTAATAGATGAGTCCTTGAGGGCATCTTTCTCCTTGTTACCCAAACCGGTTCCAGCATCAGTCCTAGTGCTCCAGAGCCTTTGTTTTGTGAATATACTCCTTTGCATGTATAGCCATTGGGAACCAGACCCAAGGCTGTTCATTGGTGCTTTTTGCATCCATCTTGGCTGAGCATGGGTGGCCCAGCCATGGGCTGGTGGGCAGAACATGAAGGCTGTAGGTTCTGCTTGGTGAAGGCTATGCTCAAGAAACTGAATATTGGGAGATCTGAGTCCATGTGCTGCCATGGAGGACTCAGAGGGGCCTTGTGGGAAGACATTGGAAGGTGTAGAAATTCACCAGGAAGAGCTTATTGTGGGGCAAAGAGTGAGGGAAAATCAGTTTGCTGGCCCAGTGAAAACACTGCAAACCTGAAATTCCTCCTCTGTTTTTCCTAATGCCTTTTGGGAAGGGGGAAGCAAATTCAGTAATTAGCACTTCACAGCTGCTTAACAAACCACAGCTGTCCCCTCATGGCAGCCATGTGATGTTGTATTTGTGAACCATGCCAGACCTTCCCAGCTTGACTCCACCAAGCTTCTAGGTCAGCATGGGCTCTGGCCTGTGACTCCTCCCCTCACCAAACTGCCCTTTGAGCAGAGCTGTGACTTCCCTGGTGGTAAATGGGCTCTGAGAGCTCAGTTCCCATGGCCCAAGGAGTGAGAAGCATTAAAACCCATCTACAAAGAGCCAAGAAGACCCTGGCTGGAGTGGAGCTGAGTTGTACCTTCCTGTAGTCAAGAGGATGCCCTTGTGCCAGAGCCCAAGAGCTGAACTAGCTGGGTGTGGAGACACATGGGGACATTTATATGACATTTATGTGATTCTGTGGCATGGAGCCCTGCAGAAAAAAGGGCTGTGGATTTACTGATACCAAAGATTTAACCGAGCTCTATGTTTCTCTGACTGCAGGTGTGTGAGGGCAGGAAGGCAGGAGAGATTTGCTGTCTTTGCTGAAGCTACACAGTCCAGCCAGCCTTGCATTGTCAGGGGAGAAAAAACTCCTCGTGTACTCATCCAGCATGACCTCATTACAGAGAGTCCAGTTAGACAGAGAGACTTTATCAATCTCAAGGTATTAAGGAAATATGAAGAGTGAGACAGCTTGACTCAACCACAATAGCTATTTCACAGGAGTGACTAATGTGTAATTGGGCCAAATAAAATCTGATGCTTTGACTCTCCCCTTGAAAAATCTCTCAGTGTTGCCTAAGTTGACAGAACTGGAGAGATCCATGATTTTGGACATGTACCTGGAGTAGTGCTTCACTTCCCCCTTCTGTGAAATAGAAATTGTACCATCCTTTGCAGGCTGCCTTGAGACTTACAGCTGGAAGCTGCTGCGGCAGAAGTCTTATTAAAAGTGGTTTGAAGGTAATTTGGGACCTGGGACTGGGCAGCTGCGCTTGTGAACGGGATTAGAAATGTTCTCAAGCTTAACCATTGGTTTTTAGCTTGGTTCACTACTGAAAGGCAACTGGTGTGATTGGGCTGTCACAGCAAAATGCTTATTTGAGGTGCAGAGCTCTGGCAGTGCTGGGTTAACAGTTGGAGCTGATGATTTTAAATGTCTTTTTCCAGCCAAAACAATGAATCCTACCAGTAACAGCCATGCTGCTATTTTATTAGGTCATCTGGTAGTTAATGGCTTTCAAAGGCCTTCCCACCCTCCTGGGGAAAAAAAAAAACCAAAAACACACAACAAAACAAAACCTAAATCCATTTAAAAGTTTTTATTTATTTCTTCATGTCATTTTCGGCAGGAAAACTTTTTAGTGCTTCAGCCCCAGCATCTGAAAAACCGGTTCTTCTTATAAACAGAAATGTTTTGCCTGTTGGAAAAAGAAACATACTGGTAAGGATATTCTTCAATGAAAAAATGTAATTAAAATAGCAAAAAATAAGTGCTTGTTATTTTGCAGAAAACTTTTTAGTGCTTCAGCCCCAGCATCTGAAAAACCGGTTCTTCTTATAAACAGAAATGTTTTGCCTGTTGGAAAAAGAAACATACTGGTAAGGATATTCTTCAATGAAAAAAATGTAATTAAAATAGCAAAAAATAAGTGCTTGTTCATTCTGCAGAGGCAGAAAAATAAACAGCATTTCTTGGAGCTAGGTCAGTCCTGCAGAGGTAACCATGGCAGCCCAGGAGAGCTGTGAGTGGCAGGAGGGGAATGCAATGGATGGGAAATGCCTTTTCACCAGAGATGGACACTTATGTGGACAAACAGCAACAAAGGTTCTTGCTTTCACTCTTTCTTCCAGAAAGGACACAAAAATAATCCCCTTGGCCACCGTGTGCTGCTCCTTGTGCCACAGCCATCCCCAGTGCCCCTGACCATGGGTGACATTGGTGTCCCGTCTGCTGTGTTGGGCTTCACTGGCCCCTCCCTGCAGCTCCCCTAGTTAAGCCCGGCAGTGCTGGGTGCTGTTAGGCAGCTTCTCAAGCCTCTGCAGGGCTGCACCTTGGCCCCTGGCAAGGGATCCATTCTCAGCACACTTCCCAACCAGGGATGCATCACTGCACTGGGGACTAACAGGGAGAAAAGATTTAAATCAGCTTTCTGCACCTGGATGGCTTTTATGGAGTAAAATATTCCTGGATGGAGAGATTTAATGTGTTTTCTTTCTGTTAATGTCAGCTGTAGTAAAAACAACTAGACCAAGTTAATTCCAGGCTCGTGCTGTCCCCACCATGCCCAGAAGCAGTCAGTGTCACCGGGGATCCGCTGGTCCCGGTGCCACCTGATAGGTGCTCTGAGCCACACCAGGGTCATCTCCTCAGGGCTGTGGACATGGTGACCTGAGGGAAGGTGGAGCGAGATGTTTGGTATGTGTCCCACTTCTCTTTTTTTAGTCTTTTTTTATTCTTGAAGGGAAAAAACCCAATGACCCAACCTGCTGGCTTTGTGCCACAGAGCTGTTCCAGGACTTGCTGCATCCCGAGGGCAGAGCTGGGCTCCAGGGAGACAATCACAGGGACCAGTGGTGCTCAGTACAAGGTGGTTTCCTTTTTTTTGGAAAAAAAACCACAACTATATTAAATTACTTAGTGGGTTAAAATGAACAGTGACAATTATCCTTCCCTTGCAGGCACAACACTGGGTGCAGCGTATCTCTTTTATTAATTGCCTGGCTAATAACTGCTCATTTCCCTTTGCTCTTAATATTTACTGTTTGAGCCCCTAAACCCCAGCCTGCTGCCTCTGCCTGGCACAGGCACTTGCTCGGTGGCTGCAGGTGCTCTCTGCCCTTGTCACTTTCCCAGTGCCTTCCTCACAGCTCTGCAGCCATTTGGTGGCACTGTGGGCAAACACCTGCTTTGCCCAGGGATTTTAAAACAAGACCAGGACTCCTAATGACCTGAACAACATGCTTCAACATTTGGTCAGCCCCGAGGTGGTCAGGCAGTTGGACTAGATTATCCTTGTAGGTCCCTTCCAACTGAAATTCAATGTAATTCAATTAAAGTCTAGCCTAGCCTAGCCTAGCCTACTCTGCCTTGGTGAGACCCCTGCAGTGCTGGCTCCAGTGCTGGGGTCCCCAGTACACGGACACAGAGCTGTTGGAGCAAGTCTAGAAGAGGCCATGGAGATGATCAGAGGGCTGGATCAGCTCTGCTCT